ATCCTTTGCTTTTGGCCCCCAGATAACTGCACTCCTCTATCTCCACACCATGTGTCATAACCATCCTTCATGCTTGCAATAAAGTCATGAGCATTAGCTATCTTTGCTGCTTCAATGATCTCAACTTCATTAGTCTTATCAAATGCTCCATATGCAATGTTTTCCCTTATGGTCCCATTAAAAAGTGTTGGCTCTTGGCTCACAAGTGCAATGTAGTTCCTTAGTGACTTAAGGTTATATGACTTTATGTCTCTACCATCCATAGTCACTATCCCTTTAAGTGGGTCATAAAATCTCTCTATTAAGCCCATTATAGTTGATTTTCCAGACCCACTTCCCCCTACCAATGCTGTGGATTTGCCTGCATCAATTTTGATGGAGAAGTCTTGGAAGATCATCACATTGGGTCTTGATGGGTATGCAAAATAAACATTTTGGAGTTCTATATGGCCTATTAACTTTTGGGGCTTGTATGCACTCATTTCATCAGCCTCTATTTTTGTGTTTCTATCTAAGATTGTGAAAACTAGGCCAATGGCATTTGCTCCTTTAGCAAGGTCACTAGTGAGACTACTAGCATCTGCTATCATCCTACCAGTATTTGCCATTATTAAATTGGTCTCAAACAATGCTTTTGAAGTAATGTGGCCATGGTAAACAAGATTTCCGCCATACCAATATTCTAAAGCCCGACTGAAAGTTGTAAGGCTTCGGGCACATCCAAGCCCAATGCCAGCAAACCATGACTGTCGAATGCTTTCATGGCTTGGGCCCTCTTGGGCTTTTTGTAGCATTTTTATGACTCGGTCTTGTGAGGAAAAGGAAGTGATGGTTCGAAGGTTGGAAATAGCTTCAACTGCTATTTTGCTACTTTCATCTTGGGCTTTGATGGCCTTTTTAGACAAGCCCTTTAGGATTACACTTCTTGTGTAGAAACTTGCAATGGATATAGGTTGAACAATTATCAATACAATGGCAAATCTCCATGCAATGATTAGGCTCACAGTGCATGCTATTACCACGGCGGAGGTAGTTTGTAGCAACAAAGACATTCTATCTCCCACTAAAGACCTCACCTGTAAATTATAAAATGCCATAATTAGCATAGAAGTTTCAAAATTAGAACTAAAAGATGAATCACAATCACAATTGACAATAAAGTACT